TTCTTGGTAATTGCTTTTTCTTTCCAGCATAGGTTACTGCATATATATATATATATATATATATATATATATATATATATATACCACACACAAACACACACACACACACACACACAGTAGTGTTCCAATAAAAATTTAACAATTGGCTCTCCGGGGGGAGGAATGCCTTGATTTGTAGAGTCAGCCAATTTCTATGTCTTAAATCTTACATGGCAGATTTCAAGCTACAATATGAGGTCAAAAAACTCATAGTTGGATGTATACAAGTGGCTCTCATGAGCTGCAAGAGTCAACTCCAGCACATGGCTATTCTATGTCTCCACATGATGCACACAAATACATCAGACACAAATATGTCATATAATATATATTATACATATGATTTCTCAAAATTAAGCCAGGAATATTTTCCTTTAAAATCATGTTGTGAAAGACTGAATCCATAATCATTTTAACTATAAATTGTTTAAGCCAGTCAACTATAGTTTAGAGCATGCGTAGAAGGTAGATAATTTAGTATTGTTACAGGTAGTTGGAATGGTTAAAAAATAGTTTGGTCTTTTCACATGCACATAGAGCCTACATGGCATATTTTATAATTAATCATTAACATATTAAACTAAACAGGCATGCAAAAGAAATTGAGGAATATGCATTTCTAAAAATGAATAAATCAAACAACCACATGAAAGCAGCAAAACTTTATATCTGAAGCATGAGCAAATGCCAGAAGCAATAATTTATGTACTGATACTTGGTTAATTTATCTTCATGGTGATTAATAGGGTGAATAAATATTTATTGGCATAAGAACATACTGAATCGCATACTATATTAAAGTTATAATCCTGTCCTGAATTCTGTCTTTGGAATAGCACCAAGAAACATGCTGAGGGAGGACCTGAGCAGCAATTTTCAAATATTTATCAAGCTACTATTATATGCAAGGCACAACACTCAGGCACTGCATGATACACAAAGGTGAATACATACCATCTTTCTTCTCAGTGAATTTCAATCAATAAGGGTAATAAGACTATGTTTAAAATACAGGTACTAGTAGGACCCATATGAAGAAAAGATCCTATTCTTTGGGAAGATATGAAAAGTCTTTTGGAACAGATATAAAAAATATTTTGGAACAAGGTGGTATTCAATAAGAGAATACTTATGAATGGGCAGCATTCCAAAAGGTGGGGATCCAGTCAAGTAAGACAATGGTAATACAGGACCCTAGAATGGGTGTAGTATGAAAGGTGGAAAAACGTGGATTACAGAGGGCTATCCATGTCAGGGAGAGGTTACTAGGCTTAAATTATAAGTGATGCAAAGCCATTGGAGGCATTGATCAGTGGAATTATTGCTCAAACCTATAGTTTTGAAATATCAACTTAGGTAGAGACTGAAGTCTGGAAAATTATTTCAGGAAAACTTCAATCATAACGCTGTTAAAGGAAAGGCATGGTAATTAGATGTAAGACATCCAGCAAACAAAATTTTTAGGATGTAGAAAATGACTCAGTCATAAGGTGAGTATGGAGTAAAAATCAATCAGGGGTTTCAGGCTGGGAGGCTAAGAAAATAGAGCTGCCATTAATAGAAATGGGAATGTTGAGAAAAAATTTACTGCTGAGTGGGTGAGTCTAAATAGAGAGGATGTGTTTGATTTTAAACAAATTGAATATGAATTGGCAGCAATCTCATGCATTCTGGCCAATATTTTAATTTCTCTATGACTAGTTATATTCATCATTAAATATTGTAGTGGAATTCATTTATTTTCCAGTCATTCCAGAAATAACAAACTGCTCTGTAAACTAGTCTTCGGCTTTATTCACCTTAAATGTATTTCTTGCAAACTTAAAAAGGATTTACTCTGTCAGGACTCAGGTTCATCTATTCAGAGCATGTAGAAATTATTTATGTCAATAGCCTTAGACACTGTTCAGGAAAATTATCCAACACTTGGGATTAGTGCAAAAAATGAGCATGTAATTTTTAATATCATACTTGAGCATTTTTTTTTTTTTTTTTTGCAGTACGCGGGCCTCTCACTGTTGTGGCCTCTCCCGCCGCGGAGCACAAGATCTGGATGCGCAGGCCCAGCGGCCATGGCTCACGGGCCCAGCCGCTCCGTGGTATGTGGGATCTTCCCGGACCGGGACACGAACCCGCGTCCCCAGCATCGGCAGGCAGACTCTCAACCACTGCGCCACCAGGGAAGCCCAATACTTGAGCAATTTTTAACAAGCCCTCTTAAGGGTCATCTGACTGTTTTGTGGAACATAATTTTTTGGACTTAATATTCGCAATTGATTGGGGTCCAGACGTTTTACAACACTGTAAACTCGTAGAAAGCTGATAAAGTGAAACTCTGTTGTTTTTTTTTTCTGCCTGGTAGAAAACATAACCACAAAGATAGGTCTGGTTGCCCTGTAGGACATTTACAAGTTTTGATTTAATTTAGTAATCTTATTTCAGTGTTCTTTTTTCCACAGGCTATGTAAATCCTAATTTCTCATATCTTCATGGAACTGCTATTCTGCCATTTCCTTCATTAATGAGTTAAAAGAAACTTCTTCATGCAATCACTTTATTTTTGCATAAGAATTATGGTTTTAATGATTAAAGAATTAGGCCTTAATAACATACAAACTTTGTTCCTTTATCAAATACTTAAACCTTTCTTCATATGGCAGACCATTCATTAATTAATGATTAATTGATCTCACTTGTACCATTTCTAATCCCATTTTTCCCACTCTGAGCTGTACAGTTTGCATAAAATGAATCATGGGAATAAGAAGACTTTTGTAGAAGTGTTGTGAAAGTATTGAAAAGAGAATTATGAATTTTTATGTCATCACAGATTAGTTGCTGTGGAGACCTGGTTGGGGCCAAGGGGAAAGTGGAGGAGGAGATGAGCAGAAGATGGGGCGTTCTGGAGTGGGTGGCATGATTCTGAGCTCTTTGTAAAAAGGAAAAAAGATGAATTCATGATAATTTCAAATAAAGATGACACTCTGCTAAACTTGTCCAGTCCCAGCCTGAGCTGCTAGGTCACCCTTCACTGGATCCTGGTATTTCGTCTTCTTAAAGATTATAAGAAAATATGTTCTGGCCATTATGGGAATTCTTAAGGTAAGGAGTCTTTCTGCCTTAGCAGGTGGTATCTTGAGGCTGTAGGATTCAGTCTTTGGGTTCTTTAATCAGCAGCAGATGGAACATGCAGGTAAGTTAGACGCAGCTTCTACAGACCTGTATTGATATGGATGCTAGGCTGAATAAATAGGGTGGGTAGACTACCAACCCCAATGATTCCCTTAACCCTCTTTGAGGAAAGGGAAGACTTGAGATAGAATTGGACATTTCCTCAAATCTAGAGGTGAGAAACGCAGGTCATACAAGAATTGCATCTGTTTGGGCATCAGAGTGGCTGTGGGTACAAACTAAAGAGCAGTTTATCAGTGTGAAGAATTGATTAATTCATTCTACCTGTTTCCCGAAGCAAGTTAAAGTGCATGGTAACCTGCATATCACTATGGAGAAGACTATGGAAGTTCCCTAAAAAACTAAATATGGAACTACCATATGACCCAGCAATCCCACTCCTGGGCATAGACCCTGGGAAAACCATAATTCAAAAAGGCACATGCACCCCAATGTTCATTGCAGCACTATTCACAATAGCCAGGACAGGGAAGCAAGCTAAATGTCCATTGACAGATGAATGGATAAAGAAGATGTAGTACATATATACAATGGAATATTATTCAGCCATAAAAAGTAACAAAATAATGCCATCTGCAGCAACATGAACCTAGAGATTGTCATACTGAGTGAAGCAAGTCAGGCAGAGAAAGACAAATATCACATGATATCACTTATATGTGGAATCTAAAAAAAAAAAAATGGTGCAAATGAACTTATTTACAAAACAGAAATAGAGTCACAAATGTAGAAAACAAACTTATGGTTACCAGGAGGGAAAGGGAGGGGAGGGATAAATTGGGAGATTGGGATTGATATATACACACACTACTATACATGAAAAGGATAACTAACAAGGACCTACTGTATAGCACAGGGAACTCTACTTAAACCTCTATAATAACCAATATGGGAAAAGAATCTAAAAACGGGTGGATATATGTATATGTATAACTGATTCACTTTGCTATACACCTGAAACTAACACAACATTGTAAACCAACTATACTCCAATGAAAAGTATAAAAAAATAAAGATGGAAATGAAAAAATAAAGTGCATGGGAAAAAATTATACATCAAAGGTAGGACACCAGGTCTACTTTCCTCTAAACTAATAATCTGCAGCCTACATTTTTGCCAGCATGATCTGAGTGTTGTTTAAATCTAAAGATATTCTCTTTCTATTCAAAGCGTAAGTCTTAGGAAAAATATACTAGCATTAATAAGTGTAAGTAAATTACCTCAAATAATTCTAAAGCACATTAGTAAGATCAGTAAAATATGTATATGTACAAATGTGTGTTAGATTCTGTAGATTGCAAACTGAAATATTTTCTATGCTGACTTTAATTGGATCTCATCTTGGTTAAGGCTTCAACTATGGTTACATCAACCTTGCTAAGAGTGCAAACATTAGAGTGAATGAAGGAAAAGGTTTTGGCTGGAGGGATTCCTGAACTCTACATTGACTCGGTGGTCAAGAGGGCATTATGGTTCTGAATTTTGATGAGGCACAGTTACCCTTTAACCAGCCCATGTTAACATTTCTTTAAGATTCCTTATTATCTTAAAATAAGTTCCGAAAGAACTCTTGTGCTAGGTCATTATAATCAGAATGAATGCCACACTAAATATCAAAAGGAATAAAACTAAAATCATTTGAGGGAAAAACAGTCATGTGATATTAGTTCATGTGCTCTATTGGCAATGTTATTGACCACAATCTCTCCTTAAGGCCAAGAAAAATACACGAGTATTGGTTTATTGGTTATTCACTGAGAGTGAGTACCTGAAGGAGAAGGCTGTCCTTTCACAACGCCATTCTTAGTCTTTTCTTCTGAATTCATGACTTCCTTGTAAATAAGTTCTGTAAGAAACAGTTATCAGTGTTATAAAAGTCAATTTTCTCCTTAACCCAAAGAGGTGATTCATTAGTTACTGACAAGTAATAACATGTTGGTGGGGCTGAGTAAATTACAAACCAAGTGGAATTTCTTTACTCTTCTATTTCTACATTTTCTTGAAATAACACAGAGCCTGGCAAAAGTAAGTGCTCAATAAAGCATTTGACCAAGAAAATGTATGAAGAGTACACGTTACTTGTTTTCTGAATTCTTTGGGAGATTTCTGATGCATTCTAATTTTATCTCTTATGGATTTTAATGGCTCAGTTTTGAACCTCCATTTTTCTTTTATGTTCACTTCCTAAGAGATACACATATTCTTCTTGTGGCTTTATATTGTTACTTTCTATCAGTTTTCCAACTCTTATTCATCTTTTTGCTAGATTCAAATCTTGGATTCGTAAAACTAAACTTGCATAAAATCCAACATTAAAAAATTATTATATTTATTCCCAAACTTGCATCCATCTCTGGCTTTTTCATTACTAGAATTTAAAATATGTATATCTTCATTACTTTTTACTTTATAGCTTTTAGCTACAAATTATCCTGTGCCATTCATTCGTGCTTTGCAATGGCTTACAATTTATATAATCATCATCCTTTACAGGTATTTCTTCAGTTTTTCAGAATTTATTCTATGTCCATCCTCCTCAAGTGATATTTATACCCTATCACTTACCTAATCATGAACACCTGAGTGCCTTCTGGTCCTTCTTTAGATCAAATCAAGTCTTTTTCTGTCTATCATCCTCATCTTTTCTTTTACTTGATCTACTGTTTATATATGCTTATTTTTCCATACTCTCCAATATGACCTCTTGAACAGGGGATTCTCTTTACTAACTTTATAACACTTTTTACTCATTCTTACCGGTTGGTTTCCTCTTATATCTTCATTCTGGTATTTTCCTCAAATTTTTTTTTCTTTTCCAAACTTATAATTATTAATTCTTTCAAGGTTGCTCAAATGTTTCTTCCCTTCAGATCTCCCCTTTATGTTCCTCCTCATAATGACCTAATCATGTGTTATAATCTGCATTTGGCTTTATCATATTTATTCTACTCTGTGGTTATTTATGTTAGTGGAACAATTCTTCTCTACCTTGTCTTACCCTGACTATGACCTTGATCATGCAGTATGTGTTTGAAAAAGTTTTCTTGAAAAAAAAGTTAATGAATGTATTCATTTACTCTTTTCTTACTTTAAAGGAGAATAAGCCACTCAGATACATGAATTTTCATTTAAATTCTTGAGTCCTATAAATCAAGTGAATGAATTCATATATTCACTATCTTTTATTCTATGATGACTAAAACCATCTCAGGCATAATTTTATCCATTTTATGTGATAATTTTATGTATAAACATGGAATATTTAATTCTGAAATTTTGAATTAAAGTTTGCCCTCCACCATGACAAATATTTTGACAATCAGTACTATTTTTTTATAAAGTGTCAGTAATTAATTCCTTTCATTCTTGAGTAAATGCAATACTGTTATTAGTATGAAAAGACAGATGAAGTTTTAGGAGCTCTGAAAATGGTCTAAGAGGATAGCACTTAGAAAATCATCTGTTACTAAATTGTTTTAAAAGGAAAAGCCTTAAAGATGTTTTCTGAGTTTCAATAACGCAAAAGGTACACTTATTTAAGCAGTAGGATCACCTTTCCATTCTTCAATGGTGTGTTCTCTTTCATCCAGCTGTTTGTCGTATATCTGGGGTGGGGGCTGCAGAATAAAAACAGACAATAAACCTTCTGTAATAAACTAAAAATAACTAAACTCTTACAATGCATGAGAATATTTTGCTATTCATTGATTTTAGTGGTGATCAGAATCTCATATAAATTGTGGAGTAATTACAGGGTACATAAGTTAAAATTTCCCCACAAACTTATGAAGGATTCATTTATATGCCAAATAAGCCAGCAGAATCCAAATCCTGAGAGCTCACTTCCCAAAACCTTCTGATTCAGAACTCAGGTGTAAGCAATTAATATTCAGTCTTTAAAAATCAAAAAAGACACTTGATTACAAGGACCCAGAGGCTATTTCCTCCATTCACTAGCCCTATAATAGAACCCTACTAAAACTATCCCAGACTGATAAGATTTTGTTCCATTTTAGACCCCTGTGAAAAAGACTCTTTGTTTTTTATTATTATTATTTTTTTACATCTTTATTAGAGTATAATTGCTTTACAATGGCGTGTTAGTTTCTGCTTTATAACAAAGTGAATGAGTTATACATATACATATGTTCCCATATCTCTTCCCTCTTGCATCTCCCTCCCTCCCACCCTCCCTATCCCCCCCCTCCAGGCAGTCACAAAGCACAGAGCTGATCTCCCTGTGCTATGCGGCTGCTTCCCACTAGCTATCTACCTTACGTTTGGTAGTGTATATATGTCCATGCCTCTCTTTCGCTTTGTCACAGCTTCCCCTTCCCCCTCCCCATATCATCAAGTCCATTCTCTAGTAGGTCTGTGTCGTTATTCCTGTCTTACCCCAGGTTCTTCATGACATTTTTTTTCTTAAATTCCATATATATGTGTTAGCATACGGTATTTGTCAAAGAGTCTTTAATACCTCTCAACAGATCGTACTACTAGTCCCCAGTGTAAAGAAATATTTAGATCTAATCAATTTTTTGTGTGTGCAAAGCCTCATAAGACATCTTTATACATAGCTGTGTGCCCTATATTTAAATGATTTAAGATATTTTCCCCCCTCAGGCAGAAGCAGCTGCCAGTTGTCTAGAGAGATGGGTCACCTTGAACCCCTGAGTGGCCCCTGAGTTAACCCTCTCTAGGAGAAATGATGTGACAGGACCTTTAGTCTAACATTGAATCAGCATTCCTCTTGCTATGAGGAATTTGGATGTGGAAAAAGAGAAATTTTCACAAATCTAGGTGCCTTCCAGGAAGGAAGGTCTCAGATAGATTCCCTGACCTCTTCCTCCCAATGTTTGGACCTAGGGAAATCTATCACGGTGACATAGAGTAGCTCCAACTCAGCTCAAGTAACACGGAAAGAAAAAAATCTCTTGGAAAAATAGAGGTGAGAGAGGAGAAGTTGAGGAGGTATATTGGCTAATAATGGCTTCAGGGCAAAGAAGAGCTACAAAATGTCTGGTGTCATGAGACGGGGTCCCAGAATTCATGCTGTCCAACACTCCAAAAGCAGCCATTTTTTGTAAGAAACTAACAGTTACTCAATAAAGTGACTCAGGTCTATTAGGACAGCATCCCTCAAAAACGGCTGTCGTAGGAACACTTCGGACAATATCTTCAGAGACAGCTTCTGACTTCTGTGGGAGGTTCTTTGGCCTGGGAGCAGTACCCTAATACCACAATGGTTCTTCTTTACTGCATGCAGAATCTCTGGTAGCCTGAATCACAACAGACATGAATACTCATCCTAGCCCTAATATGCTGGGGCAGCCTCACATACTACAGAAGTAATTGGATATAAAAATATAAGACTTTGATTAGTCGTGGTAGGGCAATTTAACACAATACTGAATTACTGAGAAACATCTACTGATGAGGCCAGACATTCCTTTAAAACCTGTGATCGTTACTGGGACAGAAGGCTTTAAACCAGCTACTGGGATTCAGATGTGGCTGACTGAGTAGCCTTTACTGAAAGAGCTAAACAGAACAAGACCCCACCCTACCCCGTGACACTAGTGAGGACACGGAAACACTGATTATGTAAAGTTAAGGGCACTGGGATGATCGATCACTGCCCCCAGGACCTGACTGAGGGAGGACCTTCTACCCCAAACTATGAAGAACTTCCCAATTATAGGAATATGATGATTTAATGAGTGAATGAGTAAAACAAAGTTATTTTTGAAAATCTGTGAAACTGTCATCTAAGTAAGCTAATGCAAAGCCAAACTCTGGTTATGTAAAGATGCTTCACCAAGTGGTAGGTTTTCTGCTTTGCCTCTTCCTGAGCTTGTATAAAGCTGTGGTGAGGTCCTCATCTAAGTGGGCCTTGTCCAGGTCCCCCGCAGACCAGTGTGCACAGCTCTCAGAGCTCACACCCCACCCAGATCTCTGTGCATTGTTGGCGCCTCTTCTAACAATAGACTCAGCTCAGGATCCTGTGTGGCTGGCTTCTCCATGCAGTGGACTTTTCCATTCAAGTTTCAAAATTAAACATGGCTCAAGGATATAGTTTCTGTCAAAGTTCGTAAATGTTATTTTCTCTTTGCAACAGAACTATTTGAGCGAGGTTTTCCTTGGAGCTTCAGCATACAGCTGTTGCTGATGTAGAAAGCACGAAGTAATAGACTCTAACCACAAGCTACAAAGAAAGAAAGCAAAGTACTGAGTCCAAGATTTCTCCTTTCAAAAAACGAATGGGCTGCTTTAAACACACTTGCATTATAGTTATGGTTGAAAGGGGTACATGTTCAGGGTTTGTTTGGGTTGTTTTTTTTTTTTAAAGAGAGGATTCAATCACCTGCAGTGGAAGAGTACTTCACATAAAGATGTCTTCTACATAAGAATATAAAATAGTAATTGACCAATAATCCAAAGAGAGTAATGTCATATTCAAACACATATATATATGTGCTCAGTCAGCAATTGTCACATGCAGTGGTCTATAACACTCTCTGCCCCTCCCTGCTAAAGAGAAGCTAGTGGTCTACTGCTCTGTTGTTCCTTTTCCCCACTTTATTAAACAGAAAGGATTCTCTCTTGCTAGGTAACAGTCTAAATAAAAAAGAAATGAGGAGCGGGTATCATGAGAAGGGCCCCAGAGAGTATTTTAGGAGAGTTTAGTAGATTAGAACAATTTGAGATGTGAGAAAATTAAGAGTGAGAAGAAATTAAGAATAATTTATGGAGAGTTATTAGAGCCTATGATTTGCATGCTTTTGAATATTCTTCGAGACTGGAGCTTCCCCTTCTACTATTTTGGAAGATTTGGGCCCTACTTCCCTGATTTAAATTCTTAGAGGAATTTATATGGATTGCATAAACAATAATGGATTAGATGTGCTTTATGATGGCACTATATATACATATACTATTTGTTTCAATTAAATAAGATAAACACATGGCCAAATACAAGTCACTATGAGTTAGTAAATATTAGAATTAATTAATTTATTTATTAAATTCATTCATTCAATTAAGGTTTGGGGCACCTAGTATATGCTAAGCTATATTAGAAATTGAGATTTCAAAACTGAATAATGTTACTGCTGACCTCAAGGAGCTCACAATTTAGTGGGGTAAGACTCATGCAAAACAGATAATTAATACACAACACGATAAATAAAAGAAATATGTAGGTGGTATATGGGAGCAGAGTGAAGAAACTGTAACAGAACTGTAGCAAAACCTTTTTCTTTTTGGAGTAGGTGACACCTGTACTAGTTCAGTGAGCAAAAGATGTCTTGGATATCGACAAGATAAAAAGGGAGAGAGAAAAAGATGACTCTAGGCCACAGAAGCTAGAGAACAGAATGGTGGTGGTGGTTGTAGTTGTGGTGGTGGTGAGGTTGGTGGTGGTATTGGTGGGAGGTGTGCTTCTCTGCTCCAGTGCACGCACGTGCAAAGAGAACTGGAACCAGTTCTGTTATTACGAATTATAACTTATGTGGCCAGAAGTGACAAGAGATAAGAGCCGTGAATAGAGAAGTAGACGGGTCAGGGAAAGGATGGATCAAGGATGTATTTGGTTACCATGATTGGAATGAAGACTTCTTCATAATGCGGGCGAAACCACTGAAGAATGCAATAGAATGGTATGGCCAAATTTACAGCCGGATTGAAGAAAAACACAAACTGAATTCAGAGAGAAGAGTCAGGGAGCTGCTGGATGATCTAGAAAAAAATAAAAAGGTCTGACTGGGATAGGGAAGGTAAAAATGGGTAGAAAATATGGATTCAAGAATACTTAATAAATATTAATAAGTAAAATTGGTAGAATTTTGTTTTTGATTGAATGTGATGATGGGAAAGAAGAATGACTCCCAGATTTCTAAGCTGAATAGCTGGACAATGGCAATACTAGTGGAGCCAACTAAAAATATAGAATGGATAAAGGGAAATGAGCCTAAGTGCTATGTTGGCAGAGATGTCTATTTGATAATCAAATATATGATCTGATGTTCACAGGAATGCTGTTGGCTAGAGATGTATAGATTTGAGACTATCAGCAAGAGGTGTTTGCTGAAATCATGGCAGTGGATGAGGTCACCTATGGAGAGTATGCAGGTAGGAAGAGTATAGGGCCGAAGTGGACCCCTAACAGACACCAGAGTTTAAAGGTTGACCAGAGGAAGATAAGTCAAAGAAGGAGGATGAGGGGGAGGAGAAAGGAACATTTACAGAAATCATGGAGAATGAGAATATTACAATGTTATAGAAGTGATCAAAGTTTCAAAAAGAGGAACTGGAAGTTTCTTGGAAATGAAACAAATAAAGCTTTCGGCTTTCAAGGCACCAGAAAGGCATGATAGAAAACATGCTTCTGAAATCCACAAAGGTTTCCAAACCTCAGAATTGCCACCACACCCAGAAAGATCCAGGTCGGCTTTTGGTGGGGGACATCAATATGAGCTAGCAACTAAAACACTGGAACAATACAGAAGAAATATCTTCAATGCTAACATGGATATGGGATATGAATAAAAAAATAAACAAAAAGGAACTGCAGAACAGATTGTGACACTGAAAAAAAAAAAGGTAGTTATATGCTCTT